AACTACAACAAAACCAAAACAAGCTCCTGCAGTGTACATACACACTTTGGAGACAATCATATAGACGAGCAGCAGCAAGGGACCAATGGTTTAAATACAAATCATGGATGATGAACTTGAAATTGAAGATGGTCTACCCCTTAATGCATTTTTCCTCTGCCGTTTGGGGGAAAGGTAGCCTAAAAGCTATTTTTAAGGTGTACCTGAAAATTACCAACCAAAGATCATTGGTTGAGAAATACTAGCTTACGTCAGGGCTGAAAAATAAAATTTTTGTCCCACTTTTGGGAAATTATTTGTTCTTTAATTATGTGCCAACTAAGCACTTTAATTTAAAACAAAGAGAGAGTCAGTCAAAATATACAAAGCCAGGCTAGAGAAACAAGGCTACTAGGACAGTTGAGAATAGAATACTTATGATTTACTGGTATGCAGGAAGAAAATATTGAGACTTTGTAATCATATTTTAAACTTATATTATTGTTCCTATGGCATAATGTACATAATATTAGTAAAATGCTTTGCTTATATAGTCTATAATAAACAATACATTATTGAGAGGTTCATATTAAAAAAATGTTTTACTGATAGAGATACACATTGAAAAATTATACATTTGCTGATTTTAGTTTAATATATTTTTTATCTGCTTTCCCCTAAGAGTTTGCCAATACTTTACTACTAGATTAAGTTTATGAAATAGTAATGTAATTTTTTTTTTTGCATTTGTACTAAGGAGAAGGCTCTGCCTCCAGTATAGGCAATTACTTTTTTTAAGAGATTCTTTTAGCAACCTTCATTGATCAGTTATGCGATAAGCCTTGTTCTTACCTTATTCAATTTCATAAGCGAGAACAAAAATTATCATTTTACTAGATACAGCAGAGCAGCAACAGAGAAAAAGTACAAGCACGTGAATACTTCATAATGGCTATATGCACATATAGCTTTGTACACAGTTGTCTTAAATAAGTGTCTGTTAGTTGGTGGGTTGATTACTTAAGTAATTACTTACCTCCAAGGCACAATGAATAGCAGTAAAATTTAAATCAGTGTCTCTCAAAGTATGTCTTGTCTGCATCAGATTCACCTAGTATTTTTTGCAACACTAGGTGGGCACAAGACCATCCCTACTTGATCAGAATGTGGATAGAATCTGGGAATCTGTACTTATCTAAAAGCATAGCAAATGATTCTAATGCATATTAAAGTTCAAAAACCAATGAGATTCTACATCTTTACCTTGACATAAAGGATGATTTCCTTTTAGGACCAAAAGCATATCATAAAATTATTGCAATCTTTCTTCCCAGGATTTCCATGCCTTCCAAATGAAACTATTCTGGAAGGATATAGCACATGATACTGATTATTGACATCTTGTTTTGGTAGTTATCCAGTTATCAAGATTTATTGTAGCATGGGGTAAATATCGACCTCAGCATCGGCCTATCATTTACCCATTAACTGTGTTCATCGTCTCTGCCTCAGCAGGAGACAGATGATGAGTCTTTAACTGTGGCCACACTGATTTAACCATTTACCTGAAATACATTGGAGGAATTGAAAAGCAACAGTATTGATGAGAAGAGTAAAAAAAAATTGATTCGTGTAGCAAGATAAATGGCCAGGATTTAAAAAATCAAAAATCAAATGCACTTGCATTTTAGGAAAAAAGCTTGAATCACAAAACTTCGATGCCAAAAAAAACCTTACAAGAAAAATCTGACTGTAGAAACTATGTCTTGATAACGGAGGTATACTGATCTTTATACTAATCAAGTCAGTGAATCTTTATGGAATGAGTAAACCCATTTTCAAAGGGAATGGCATTTGTTCATATTAGCAAATGCTAGTTTACTGGGAGGCAGTCCTGTAAGGAGAAACTTCAAAAGAAAGAAAGAAAAGCAATGTAGGCAATAGATGCTGTAGGCTTCTGGTAGAGTCTCCTGGGGAAATGAAGAAAATGACTCTTCATTTAAAGTAAGTCTGAGCAGAATAGTAGGAGGCCCGGTGTGCAGATCAGCGTGCTGCAGGCCCTGGGGGGTTGAGCAGGGCAAGTGGAGTGGAAAGAGGGAGCGACTGGAGGTGGGCCGTAGAAAGACCCCAGCTCTGCCTTGCACATCCTCAGACAGGCCACTTTGCTCAAATAAAACACAGGCTTCCATTCTGAAGAGACATACACACTTCACAGGGACGTTTTTGGTTCGTTTGGGTTTTGGGGGGCACTTGGGGCATTTTGTTTTTAATTTTCTCCAACGGGGATCCACTTTAGCCTCTTCTACATTAAAATCAGCAGAGCAGCCTAGTTTGTTTATAAACTTCCCTTTGGAAAAGGGTGCTTCTGAAACCTAGGGCATCATTCAAGGAAGAAACTGCTCTCTTTGCTTTCTGCAATCATGTCCCAACCTCCATTTGTGACAGCATGATTTGTCCTAATGGGTCTTGAGAGGCATTTGGGAACTCTGACTTCATCTCGGGACCACACAAGGAAGTCATCTGAGTGTGACGTGACAGAAGGGCACTGTGCTTGAGAAAAGGCGAGAGCTGCCCTGTCCCGTGGATGTTTCCCCAGTGGTATCTGGCTAACTGTTTTTGACCTGCTCCCAATAATCAGTTTTTAAAAAGTACGTTCCTGGCTGTCAAGCCCCAACGCTGCCTAATTTACACAGATAAGGAGTTCTAATAAGATACTTTAGAAAGTCACTTATGCCATAAGGTATTCACATTATCTCAAGACATTTCTATTTGGTTAATAGGAAATGAAAGTGTGGATTAATGCCTTTCGCATGCCATTAAAAAGCTGAGAGGGTGAAGCCTCATTTCAGCCACCAGGGGCCTCCTTCTGATGTCTGTTCACTGCTGTCTCAGCTAACGGCTTTCGGTGCTTTCAAAAGCGAAGGATGAGTTTTGACTTCATAGAAAATGAGTTTAAATCAGAAAGTCCATGTGGCCTCCAAACTTTGGATTACTGCCATGGCACGCTGCATTTCACCTTTGATTTAACGATAGAGAACATGTGGCTTCCTAAAAATGAAAAACTCTTTCATTCAATTCCCAAAAGGCTAATGCAAACAGCTGTTAAAGGAAAAATAAAAAGACACCAGAATTCCAAATCAGCAAAACTTAATGATATTGGGTCGCCAATCACATTTCTGTAAACCTGAGGAGCCAGGGTGGCAAATATGTCTCCTCCTCTCTTTATCTGACCCATGTTCGGAAATGTAATTATTGAGTGCGGCCATAAGCCTAAATCCTACAGAAAGTGAGTTTGATGAAATTAATAATAATAATAATATCGTAAGCTAACACTGAGTGATTAATAACCAGGCACTGTGCTAAGTGTTTTATACGCATTATTTCATGAAATCCTACCAAACTCGTGAGGTAGAAACTAGTATTATTATTGCATTTTAAAGGTAAGGAACACTAACTTGTTAATTTAAGTCTTCATTACTAGTGAGTGAGAGAGGTGGTATTAGAGAAAAAATAGCCTGATTCTTTAGCCCACATCTTTAATCACACTTTTAAAAGTAGACATTATCGGCAATTACTTTTCTTAAGTGAATTCTTGCATTGGACAAATGCTTCAACATTTCCCTAAATAAGGGATTTCTCAAACAATATCAAGAGATCTGATAGTTTTGGTGATGTAACTGTTGGTGCCCTAACAAGCCCTTTGTGTGAAGCAGATGGTGATGACTCAGAACAGCCCACCTCCCTGTAGACGTCAGTTACCTCTAGATGAAGGTAGAAAGTCTATTCAATGACATTAAAATACCGCTCCAAGGTTTTAAGTCATGTGGGCATATAAAGTAAGGAGGACATGGGTTAGATAGGGCAGGGGGTGGGACTACGCTTCTTTCTTATAGGATGCTCTTATTTTCCTTTCAGGTAACATGGAAATCATAAACAGCATTTTTCTCCTCTTTGAAATGGAGTGTTTTAGTTGATGGATTGCAGAGGCAAGCTTCCCCATGTGAAAACTTGCCCTGCTCTTCCTGGAACCTAAATTAATGCCTACTCCTTGCAAGATCCCTGTTTTATGTACTCCAAAGGACTGGACATTTGTACACCATCTGCCACAGGGGGAATTTACCTCCCTCCAAGACCCACTTTCTTCATTTTCCCATCCTGGAGCCCCTCCTCCTTCCTCCAGCCAGCCATCCCAGCAAGGCAAAATCACCGCGCTGACTTCTCAGTTAAAGAGAAAAGCCTTAGAGTTTGGCTGTGAGGAGAAGCATGCCATAAAGTTACTAGCTTAATTAAGCCATCACAGTTTTTAAGCGTTTCTAAATACAGGCCATTTGAATGTATAACTGAGTCTGAGCGCAGCCTCATCCTAAGTTTTCCTTGGTCTGCTCAGAACCAGATTGTGAATGGGAAACAGCTGGGATGACATCCTGCGGCGGCATGGCCAGTTCCTCATTTTCACTGTGGTCTCCACAATGAATTTATGAAGTGGTTTCTTCTCTTGGCTTGGCACAGGAGTGAGGGGGTGGACCCTTAAAATGCCAGGTACAGAGGCTAAACCCACCATGAGTGCTTTGACTGTCAGCCTATCTCCAGTGTTCTCAGGAACAGTATCTTGAACATTTTTCTGTAGAGAAGGCTACAGAATGTGCTTGAGGGAAATGTTCTCTTGGGAAAAACGATTCTGAACTTCAGACCAGAGGTTAGAAAGAGGATACATAGAGAGATTGCAACTCAACGTTACTCAAGTTGGACTGACAAAGAATAAGGTCAACTTAAATCTCCCCTTGGGGAGAAGTGTACCTTTGGGGAAAGCACAACAAGCCCCTTGCTTATGCTGTGAACTTAACTCAGCACTTCACAGATTAGGGGAATTTACTAGCTGATAGCTGGGGTACAACATTTCTTATTTAGCAGCACATTTGGTGCATTAGTTTGTATCTCAGATTAACTCTAATGCCCACTCTCTCCACACACTTATATAAGCAAGTACACACATACATTGAGATGCTCAAAGAAACTTTGATGTGCTCATTTCAGCAGCACATATACTAAGATTGGAACGATAGAAAGATTAGCAGCGCCCCTGAGCAAGGATGACATGTAAATTCATGAAGCAATAGAACAGAAGACCTGAAACCATCAACTCCTAGAAGAAAACACAGGTGGTAAGCTCCTTGACATGCATCTTGGCGATGATTCTTTGGACTTGACATCACAAGCAAAGGCAACAAAAGCAAAAGTAAACAGGTGGGACTACATAAAACTAAAAACCTTCTTTCCCAAAAAGCAAAGGAAACTGTCAACAAAATGAAAAAGCAACCTACAGAATGCAAGAAAATATTTGCAAATCATATCTCTGATAAGGAGTTAATATTTAAAATATATAAAGAACTCACACAACTCAATAGCAAGTAAAACAACCAATCTGATTAGAAAATGGGCAGAAGACCTGAACAGACATTTTTACAAGCAGGCATAAAGACAGCCAACAGGTACATAAAAGATGATCAACATCACTAATTACCTGGAAAATGTAAATCCAAACCACAATGAGATATCACCTCGTGCCTGATAGAATGGTTGGCATCAAAAGAACAAAAAATAAGCATGGGAGAGATTGTGGAGGAAAGGGCACCCCTGTACACTATTGGTGGGAATGTAGATTGTTGCAGTCACTATGGGCAACAGTATGAAGTTTCCTCAAAAAATTAAAAATAGAACTACCATATGATCCAGAAATTCAACTTCTGAATATTTATCCAAAGGAAATGAAAACACTAACTGGAGAAGATGCATGCATCTCCATGTTCACTGCAGCATTATTATAGCCAAGGCACACACATATACACATACTGGAATATTATTCAGCCATAAAAAAGAAGGAAATCTTGCCATTTGCAACAACATGGATGGACCTCGAGAGCATTATGCTAAGTGAAATAAGTCAAAGAAAGACAAATACACATATCTCACTTATATGTAGAATTAAAAAAAACAAACAAAAACCCCTGAGCTCATAGATACAAAGATCAGACTGGCGGCTGCCAGGGAGAGGGGAATAGTGAAATGTGGGAAGGGGCTCAACAGGTACAAACTTCAGTTATAAAATAAGTAAGTTATGAGGATGTAATGTACAGCATGTTAATCATACTGTATTGCACATTTGAAAGTTGCCAAGCGTAGATCTTGAAAGTTCTCGTTAGAAGAAAAGAATTTGTAAGAATGCATGGTGATGAATGTTAACTAGGCTTATTCATGGTGATCACTTTGCAATCTATACAAATATTGAATATTAGGTTGTACACCTGACACCAGTAGAATGTTATACCTCAATTATACTCGATAAAAATTTTTTAAAAACTTTGCTGTGTATGTGCTTATGCTAAAAAAGTCCCAAATCCCACACCTACCCTTTCACCTGCTGGCAATTGTGTCTCTTCTCCTTAAAGCTAGTTCAACGTGAGAAAGACAGGTGGGGTTGGAGCTGAGCAAGCAGGGAGGCGATAGGATGAGGACAATGGCCTGAAATGGGTCACAAAGGAAAGCATTAAGAATGAGTGATTTAAGGATACTTGCAGATTTCCTCTATTTCTAGTAATTCTTTACCTTGGCACAATATTCGTATAGTGATCAAATAGTTTATGTTGTTAGATCATCCTAATAATCCATTGGAGTTGGCACTGTCACATGCCTATGCACAACCAGAAGAACCTACAACTAGAATATACACAACTACGTACCTGGGGGCTTTGGGGAAAAGACGAAAAAAAATCATATGTCTAATTTATCAGTGAAAAAAAAATCTCAGAAGACAGTATATGTTTTTATGTATACACACACACACACACACACACACACACACAAATTCTCAACAGAGTAGAACCCAAGTCACCTGCTTCCTAATATAAAGTTAGGTTAACTTGGCCTTCAATTTAACTTGTGTTTGTATATAGGATTATGGTCTGCCTGCCCAAACTGTAGCCTTCCAGAATAAGTTTCTATAAACCCCAAATCATGTGTCCATCTGCCCTGCCTCTTTCCTATTACATGTTAACTAAATCCTACTTTACGTAAATTTGGTTGTATGAAAATTTAGATTTGTTAAAATAAAATAACACATACACCATTAAGTGAATTTCAAACAGACTCTGGAAATTTTCTTTAGAAAATGAGTACCTCTAATGAGCACAGACGCTTGGATTAAAATAAAACTAAGATGTATGTGGTTTTCCAAGTACCCCTCCTGTAGTGTAGGAAGATAACTGTGCCAGTACTGTGTAGATTTTGCAGTAGAGAAAGGGTACCAAGTGAAGATGTTCACTCTTGTTCGGGACATTGAATTCCAAAGAAGCTTTCCCTGAAATATATTTGCAAATGGGAGGTAACTTCTTGTTTAAGTGTCTTAAAATTAAGCTAGTGTTTCCCCTTTTCTGTGTGATGTCTATCTTTTGATGTGTACCTTTCACACAGTAGAATCTCATAAATCCTTGTTTTGAATCATCCTAGACGAGAAGGACACTGAAAAGCAAAATCTATGTGCTAAAAAGAGAGAAAATAATAGCTGAGTATGGACAGTCAAATCTAAAAGGATGAAGTAACTCTGTGAGGCCCACTCCCTCCTTTAATGGTCGCAGGTTTTACCAACTCACATTTAGAATCCTCTGATTTTCTTTAGCTTCCTTGAGCCCCATGGGAGGAGAACACTGTATATTTCCAAATGCACACAGCCAGCCATCCAAGTACCTTCAAAGGTGAATATTGTTCCTTTGAAATGAGTTTACCAACTCCCGTAATTCCCAAGACTGAGGTTAGTGATTGCCCTAGTGCTATAAATTTCTCCATGGATTACAGCCAAATGCCGTTGGTTCAATTACCCAGACCAGTGGTTCTCAAACTTTAGCAAGCATCCAGATCACCTGGAGGGCTTGTTCAAACACAGATTGCTGGATTCTACCCCCCGAGTTTCTGATTAAGGAGGTCTGGAGTGGGACCCAAGAATTTCAGTTCTAATAAGTTCCCAGGTGGTGGTGATACTGATGCTGGTAGTCTCATTATGGGGACTGTAGTCACACTTTGAGGACCTCTGACCTAGAGGGCTCAATTGCCTGTGAGATGAACAGTAGCTATTCTGGAGACATCTGTCAGCAGAAGTCTTCCATGGTTTGGGCCTCACTGAGGCTTTGAGTGGGTGTAATGGGAGGCACGGACCAGAAGCAGGAGGTGAGAAGGTCAAGCACATTAGATTTCTGTTCTATCCATCCTCAAGCTTTTAGGCTGAGAACTACGGGTATTCTAGGTTCCTGGTGGGTTTTCGGGTTATTAAGCTTTTAAAGGATGAAGTATTCCAGTTTGCAGTTTGAAGGCAAGCAGCCAAAAACCTGTGAGAGGAAAAAAAGATATGGCCTTGAGGTGCTTGCCCAGAAGCTTTGAATTTATCTCATTTAACCAGGTCATGACTTGAGGGGGAAGAAATTCTGCTTGTTAAAATAATCAGTTACATTTCCTAACTTTTGGGGAGAAGACCACAGGGAAAGTAGTTCTCCTTAAACTCGATAGGTTTGTGGATTGCTTCCCCTCACAGGTGTAGTCCTTTGAGACTATGTCATTAAGAGGAACGGATTAATTTAGGAACATCCGCATAAGGATTTAGGATGATTGGAATGGATCACACATCTGTCAGAGAGGAACTGATGTTAGGCATATGTAATCATAGCTTGATTATCAAACTATCGTAAATAGAAATAGAAGTCGAATACATATTAAAGAGAGATTTCTGGGCTGAGGATTGAAGGACAAATAGAAGACAGGTGTTCCTAAAGAGAGCTCGCTGTTGCATTTATCTGCAGTACTCAAGTAATTTGGGAAGAGAGACTTTTATTGTGTAGTCTTTGTATAGTCTTTTTCCTCTTCCTTGACCTCCTGTCCTACGTCAATTTTACGGATACAATCTGAGTCCCTGCTATGCGCAAAGCATTGCAGCAAAAATAAGTAGATACAAAAATAAGTAGATACAAAAATAAGTAGAACCTGTAAGCCTCTATTCTCTAGTAAATGGCTATAATGAGTATCTAATTACAAAGTGTAGTAGAATTCCAACAACACACGGAGAGAGGTACACAAGGTATTGTCTGAGGAATGTAAAGAAGGTGTCATCATGCTTTCCTTTGACAAAGTTCTTTATTAAGAGAATCACCCTGTCTCACCAAGAGGTTCAATGAGACTAGAACCATATATGTTGGTTTCAATTAAATTAATGATAGATTTTCTACGTTGACTCCATAATTAGTAGGACAGCCAGCTAGGCCCAACATCAGAAATAGAAGATTGTATATTCTCCTCCTTAAAATTAACCCCTATACCTCAAACTGTTTTACACAGGCACCCTCATCCCTTAGCCAACCTCTTCAGAACTGCAGCCTGAATCTAGTCCCTTAACCCAGGTACCTGGGCTATATTCGTGCACTTAAAGTGTTTTGCCATACTATTCTTCCTTCCTGTGGATGCAGAATCTCTTACTGCTTTTATTCTCCTCTCCAGGATATCTCCTCTATTTCTTCCTTTGAAAGGCAAGCTATACGACTTTCTTCTTTCAGAAACAAAACTTTAGTTCAATTGCTCGTTCATAAGAACTAGAATGTACAATCCTAAACTCAGATGTTAGGGGATAATTGGACTCCCCTTACCATTTGAGATGATCTGGAGTCCTGAAGAGGCAGTGGTAGAGGATGCAAGGAACCCCTCCAGCACACTTTGCAACTGTGCATTCAAGAGATCTGACATTTGAAAAAGACTTCAAATGGTTGGTGGCATTTGGAATAATTTTAAAACAAATCAGGGTGGCGATATTTGCACAAGCAAATAGGCTTATGCATAAAGTTGGGTAGTGGCTTCTAGAAGCTGAGAGTTTTGTAATATTTACCTGGTCTACCTTTCTGACAAGAACTACCCAACTCAATTGCTGACCTGCAACTCACCCTGTGCCCAGAACTTCTGTTCATGTTGCTTGAGGCATTCACATTAGCTATTTGACAAGCCCATTCTGTTTTCAGTTCTCAATTTAAAAAATAAATAGGTCAGACTCACTTTTTAACATTCCACATAGGATTTTAATTTTCTTGCACTATTTTA